AAAGGTACAATTGGCCTCAGAGGAGGAGGAAGTAGAGCTAGAAAAGAATCCGAGGAAAAGTCATCAGAGATGTAGAATAACTGAGAGAAAGGTTTTATAGAACCTTGGAGGAGAGGTTTTTACCCACAAATAACAGGGTTACAAGTACTGAGGCAGTAGAATGAATAGCTAATTGATTTTGGTAAAATGAGCATCAGACCCACAACTTGCAGCCAGCTTGAAAAGGAATCCTGATGCTCCTGCTTACTCTGAACAACTTATTGAACTTCACTCACACCCAGTCCATTAAGATGGGGACAAATAAGCCTTTGAACTAGCCATTCATTCTGAGCATTCAGTGAAAAAATGTGTATAATGAACGTAGCACAGCCCTTGCCGTTGTAGCTCAGTTGGTTGGGCGTCATTTCTTGTACAGAAAGGTTGCTAGTTCGATTTCTGGTCAAGGTACATGTCGGGGTTTCGGGCTCAACCCCCGCCCCACCGGTAGTGGCCATGCAGGAGGTAGCCAATTGATGTTTCAATCTCTCACATCAATGTATCTCTCTCTTTCTCTTCCTCTCTTTCTAAAAATCAATAAAAATTCTTTAAAAAAAAAACCTGCTTACTCTGAACAACTTATTGAACTTCACTCACACCCAGTCCATTAAGATGGGGACAAATAAGCCTTTGAACTAGCCATTCATTCTGAGCATTCAGTGAAAATATGTGTATAATGAACGTAGCATAGCCCTGCCGTTGTAGCTCAGTTGGTTGGGCGTCATTTCGTGTACAGAAAGGTTGCTAGTTCGATTTCTGGTCAGGGTACATGTCGGGGTTGCGGGCTCAACCCCCGCCCCACCGGTAGTGGCCATGCAGGAGGTAGCCAATTGATGTTTCAATCTCTCACATCAATGTATCTCTCTCTTTCTCTTCCTCTCTTTCTAAAAATCAATAAAAATACTTTAAAAAAAGAAAGAAAAAAGAATGTAGCATAGGCCTGAATGTACATCAGTTTTAGATGCTATTATCGTGAACAGGTTGTCAGTTCTCATTTGTTCTTAACTAATATTACGTATTTGTCATGTGCCCGGTGTTGTGCAATCAGATTTGTATGGATCATCCCGTTTATTAGGTGACTTCCCAAGGTGAATTGTGCTCTGCGAGTATAGGAACCCAGGAAATATGGTTCAGAGACTGACTCCTCTTCTTCTGAAAGAGCATTTTCAAGAGGGAAGGAAGTAGCCTGCAAGGGGCATGGAGTGGGAGGAAGGAAGGAGATGGGCAGATTGTAGAACATTCTTTCAGGGAATTTGGAGATAGAGGTAAGAGGGAAGTGAGTAGTCAAAGTAAGATTTCTTAAGAGAGACCTGAGCTTCTTTAGTATTTGTCTTAGGTAATGAACAGCACTTATAAAGTCCATTGAACAGTGTACATTTTTTGAGTGATTGCTGTGTTGCTCTTAGAATTCCCCTAATGTATGTGGGTGGGACATTGTCTCCAGGGAAGATGGGTCCAGTCTCCTCTACTTTGGTTCTACATCAGGCTATTTGCCCAGGCAGTCCTAGCTCCGGGGACAGCAGACCTTGCACCTTGAAATTCTCAAATTTCTGACAGGATACCATTTGTAACAGTGCCTCCTTTTTGTTATTTGGTGACAGGTCCTGAGGAGAGGGGAGCATAGATGTGGCTCCCCACTCTATCCTGCTTTCTAGTGCCCACAATGTTGACAACCACAGGCTGAAATGGGGAGGAAATGTATTTGTGCTAGGGCCAGGGACCTGCCAACCCCTTCCCCATGCAAACCATTTAGTGCAGTGGTTCTCAACCTTGGCTGCACATTAGAATCACTTGGGAATCTTTTTAAAATCCTGATTTCTGGGCCAAGGTTGAGAACCACTGATTTAGTGCAGTGGTCGGCAAACCGCGGCTTGCAAGCCACATGCGGCTCTTTGGCCCCTTGAGTGTGGCTCTTCCACAAAATACCACGTGCGGGCGCACGTACAGGATTGAAATTTCGTGGCCCATGCGCAGAAGTCGGTTTTCGGCCTGGGCGAGTCTATTTTGAAGAAGTGGCATTAGAAGAAGTGGGAGGTGTCGGTCGGTCGGTGGGCAAAGGGAGAGGGGGCGCAGGCGGGTCGCGGGATACACAGCGCGGGGGAGGCGCACGCGATTCAAGCACGAGTTGAGTGAGCCAGTCAGTCAGCAGTCTCATTGTGCAGTGGTTAGTGAACTTAGTCCACAGCACAAGTGGTCTGTTTTGAAAGACCTGGAGAAGGAAGATATGTTGATTTTTAACACCTGGAATAGTATTCCTGACTCATATAATCAACTGAAAAACTAGCGTTTGCTGTTCTTTCCTTATTCGGGTCTACATATTTATGCGAACAATCATTTTCAAGCATGAACCTTATCAAGAGTAAATTGAGAAGTCGTCTTATTGATGAGAACCTGGAATCGTGCCTAAAATTAAAAACAACAACATACAAACCTGACTTACCCAAACTTTCCAAGGAGATGCAAGGCCATTGTTCACATTAGTGTTTGTCAGTCATTGTCATGATTTAATTTTATGGATATTGTAAGGTAAATTGTAAGGAATTTAATTTTATCAATAAATAATATCGTTATTAAGTATGATATCAAGTTTTATTCAACGTACCTATAGTTTAACTAAGACTTAAAACTTTAAGTAAAGTTTATTAAGTTAATTTTAGGGAACGTTGTGGAGTGAAAGAAGATGTAGTGTCGAGGATTGAGAAAGGTATGTTGAGATGGTTTGGACATATAGAGAGGATGAACGAAAGGAGATAGACGAAACAAGTATACAAGACGAGTGTGGATGGGAGAGTTGGAAGGGGTCGACCTCAGCAAACGTACCTCAATCAGATTGAGGACGTTTTTAGCAAAGGCCAGCTTAGGAGTACCCTAATTAAGTTAATAACAATGTACCTACCTATATTGTTTAAGTTTAAAAAATTTTGCTTTCAAAAGAAATTTCAATCGTTGTACTGTTGATATTTGGCTCTGTTGACTAATGAATTTGCCAACCACTGATTTAGTGGAACTCAAGCAATTAACAGACTGCAGTAAAGTGATCCCTGAATAAGTACCATATTTTTCCGTGTATAAGACACTATTTTTTTCTAAAATCATTAGACTGAAAATCGAGGGGCATCTTATCCATGGAAGTCAGCCCAGGAGGGAGCCATGCTGGGATATATGAAGTGCCTCATATATCCCAGCTACAAAGGCAAACTGACAAGTCAAACAGGCTTCCTCCAATCACGAGCCTTATTACTGACGTCAGCTGATGCCATAATTGGAGGTGGAGGTGGAGAGTGCACAGATGCAACAGGGAACGGAGCGTTCTGAACCCATAAAGATATCAAAAATAAAAAGATAAATACTGGTAAGCGATTGTCTTACTCTGCAAAATTCAAACTGAATGTAATCAGCTATGCAAAAGAGCATGGAAATAGAGCTGCAGAAAGACAATTTGGACCTCCTCCCACTGAGTGTATGATCAGACAGTGGAGAAAACAGGAAGAACAACTCCTTAAGATGCCAAGAAAAAAGGCCTTAAGAGGAAAACCAGCACAATGTTTAAAATACTGATTTCTTAATTTTGGGTTGGCAAAGTGGGGGGCATCTTACACATGGGGGTGTCTTATACCTGGAAAAATACGGTAGTTTCCATTTCCCGCTACTATTACAGAGGAGAGAAAGAGAAAATGTCATTCTATGTAATCTAGGATGTCTCTGACAGAGCCATAAGCTGGTGTTTGCATCTGCTCTAATCCAGTGATCACAGGATAACTCCTGTGTGGGGCAGGAAGTGGGAGTGGAAGTGCCCCTGCACTGATTGCACAGAAACCAAGACTCCCCATGAATGAAGAGATACCGAGGAAATAGTGGTTCAGTGATGTGGTAGGTAATGCTAGGTAGATTGTGAGGACAGGAAGTATAATTTATAAGACATGGAACTTTTATCCCTTATATAAAAGGGCCAGGTTGAACATATCATAAATCTAAATTTCCCCCAAATAGCAATGGTTATACTGCAATACAGTGAAAGAGAGTTCTATCTTTTCTTTTTTTCTCCACTAATCCCATCATGACAGTACTGAGTAGTTAACAATATATATTTGATAATGGAATGTTCATAGGCATCTGCATTTAGTTTTAATTTTCTCTTATGGGAATTTTGTTTTTATTTTAGCAAAGTAGTCTTTCATTGAAAACATTGAAGTGAGCTTAAAATTATGCAAAGAAATGAAATTTTCTTCACTTGCTAATTTTCTGTTTTAAAAATTACCTTTTCTACAGATTTGTGTGTATAATCTGATTTGTTTAAATTCCCACTCCTTCAATGGTTGGATACTTCCAACCAAATTCTGTTCTGGAATTTTTTTTTATCTTCACCTAAGGATATGCTTATTGATTTTTAGAGATTGGGGATGGGGGAGAAACATGGATATGAGAGAGAAACATCGATAGGTTGCCTACCACACTTACCCCGACTGGGACTTAACCAGCAACCTAGGTATGTGCCCTGAATGGGAATCGAACCCACAATCTTTTATATATGGGACGACGCTCCAACCAACAGAGCCACCTGGCCAGGGCTGTTTTGGAATTTTTTTAATGTCTCAAGTACACTCACAGGTTTGCAAATTGAGTTTTTCAAGAATATACACTAATATAAAATATTTTAAAATTATCTTGTATGTCAGGATCGGGGAACCTTTTTTCTGCCAAGGGCCATTTGTATATTTATAACATCATTCGTGGACCATACAAAATTATCAACTTAAAAATTAGCCTGCTATGTTTGGTCAAACATTTAATTAACTCACCCCTAATGCCGTGACAGGCCCAGACCAAATTATTTCACAGGCCTTATACGGCCCTGGGGCCAGACTTTCCCCACCCCTGTTGTATATGATATAACCTTATGCATTTTATTTCTGTTTACTCTACTATGCTCAGTCTTCTTTTTTTTTTCTTTTAATTTAATCCAGAAATAGGCAAAAAGAAATATTACAAGTACAGCAAAGAGAAGACATTAAAGTGGCTGGAAAAAAAGGTATAGTACCCCTCCAGTGCCTATGGCAGAAAGAATTCAGTACATCTTTTTAAAACTAGAGAATGTGGTAAGTCGTAAACCAAAGACTATCTTGTATTTCTAACTAAGACAGGAAAACTATGTAAGGATATCCAATATGAGAAGAAATCTTTTACTTTTCATCCTCCCTAACTCATGTCTCTGGAGTTTGCTAGATGGGTTTTTTGTTTGTTTGGTTTTGACCTGCATCCCCATTTTCCCATGATTTTCACCACTGAATGAAAGAAGTTCTTGCTCTTTGTTGGTGTAGATTTGAATCTTCCAAGCTAGACAATACCGGGCCTGATGTGCATTTGCTGTGGTTGGTCCTACAGTTGTCTCAGAGGTGGGTGTTGCTCACACACAGCCAGGCAGGGGCCTGAGGCCGACTGGATTCAGGCTTAGAGGATGTGTGTCCCGCTCTGTATCTGGCTGCTGAACAGGAGTCATCTTCCAGGCACACTGTGTACTTAGTGATGCTAAGAAGTAGACTGACTGCATGTAAGGTCTGGTAGTGTTTCCAAATTGGATTTAGTAAGTCACAATCAGTATTGGAATGGGATAGGATAGATAGGATGTGTTAAAATTTAACAAAGTAAGGACAAGTATTAAGTATGGCTCTATGAAACTATTTATATGTGTGTTTCAGTATTGGGTTGCTGTGTATTTCTTACTGTGGGTTGTGGCTAAAAAGACAACAACACAAAAAATACTTTGAAACCCATTAGTCTAAGGATGCAGTGTACTTTGACATTGGTTAAGAATCTTACCAGAGGAAATTATTCTGACTTTAACCTTCAGTACAGTGTTCCCCTGTTCTGGGTATACAATTCTGAAACACCTGACTTCAGTCATTAAAAAGTAAAAATAGGGACAGTACCCTGTTTGTGATTTATCATAATTGAGGCAGTCTTTGATTTGCAGAAATATACCTTGAACACCTAGTACAGACAGATGATAGCTGGCTCCAGCCATTCTGGGAGTGGTGGACAGCACCCTCACTATACCAGCTGCCATCAGGTTCTTTGGTTGGTTTTAACAAAAGGAAAGGTTGTAGCAGTCAGATAAGTGGATGGATAGATGGATAAAACCATAGCATTTTTTATCTGTTGCTGACAGAGTTTTTGCAAATCAGTGATACCAGTAGTTACAGTACTGATTCCTAGAATTCTCTTCTACTGTCTTCCATCTTGTGAAAAACCTGTTCATCATATGTTACTGGGCATATTAGGAGCCTAGGAGCATGGAAATGAACTTATAAAAGTAAAATTAATTAGGCTCCTACTGTACAGCATAGTGAAAAAATTTTAAAGGTGCCTCTATGTTTCATTTTTCATTCACCTTAGTAATAGTCTACTATTAGTGAAGAATGAATGTAAGAACTGAACCGAATCTTGACGTTTAGTTTTTGCTCTTAACAAATAATAATGACATGAACAGCAAAGTGAAATTTGTATTTATTATGTTTTCTTTCTTAAATTTCTAGGATTTGGGAAATTTACATTATTTATTTTGTTTAGAAAATTATTACATATAAACTTTATGCCAGGTTCTGTTCTAAGGGTCTTTACATACAGGGTGGGGCAAAAGTAAGTTTGCAGTTGTGAGTATGTGAAGCAGAATTTATTCTTGTGTTATTATTTATTAACTTGTATTATTTTCCATAACTGTAGATCTACTTTTGCCCCACCCCGTATATTAACTCATTTAATCTTTATAACAATCCTATGAGGTAGATACTATTTTTATCTCCATTTTACTGAGAGGTTAAGTAATTAGCCCATGGTCACAGAGCAGAACCAAGCAAGCAGCCTGGTTCCAGAGTCAGTGCTCTCTATTGTGTAGCCCTTTAAGTATATGGAGATCATCCTGAAATGCTATGGCTGCTGCTCAACCTTCTCCAAATATGCAGCTGTCTCTCATCTGATATCTGCTGGAGAAATATTTCTTCCTGGATCTTAAATGAATTGAAGACTTATCTGGAAAATTGTGGATTTCTAGAGTTAGTTCAAAATACCCTAATATTCCCCTTTTGGTTATTTCATAGGTTAATCAGACTGTGGCAGCATTAAAAACCAATAACATAAATGTCGGTGCCCGGGTACAGTCAACTGCATTTTTCTCTGGTCACCAGATTTCCAGTGACAAGGAAGGTAAGTAAATAGATTCATCAGAAATTATTTTTGTCTGGAGTATGTTGCTTATGTTATAAATGCCTATCTTATGATTTTAAAACCTTAATGTTTCAGAAGTTTACATTCTTACCATGTCTTCTCATCTTGTGACAGGTGTGCATTTCATTTCAGAAACACGTAATGTTTCTACCATAGGTCACATCTGTCACTAACTGATACTTTTAAATCATTCATTCAGCAAATATTTATTTTGCACTAATAATAACAACCCTAACAGCTCTGCCTTTCATTTACTGAGGGTGTATCATATGCCAAGCCTTTTGCTAAGTTGCCAGTATACACACATTATCTCACCTGACTCCAGTAAGTCTCATTCTTGAGGCTCTGTCCAAAGTTGCATTGCTGGTAAAATGGTGAAACTAAGCTACTAAGGAGCTGGTTTAGTCCTAAGCCCACACTCAAGCTTCTTGTTGTATTATTTGTGTGGTACAGGCTGTCTAGTGAGCTGCATCTGTTTGCATCTTTCTCTAAAGAAGCATCTGTCCTACATTAGGTCTCAGTACTTCAATTTTAGATAAAAATTGATTCATTTAGCAATTTTTTATTCTTTGGGGTTATTAAAGTGCATTCTTTTGGTGCTTTATCCAGTGTAGTATACTCTTATGTATATATAGATGTTGAATAAAAACAGCTATATAGTGCAATTAACATTCTCAAATGGTGGAGCAGAAATTATTCTGACTTTAACCTTCAGTACAGTGTTCCCCTGTTCTGGGTATACAATTCTGAAACACCTGACTTCAGTCATTAAAAAGTAAAAATAGGGACAGTACCCTGTTTGTGATTTATCATAATTGAGGCAGTCTTTGATTTGCAGAAATATACCTTGAACACCTAGTACAGACAGATGATAGCTGGCTCCAGCCATTCTGGGAGTGGTGGACAGCACCCTCACTATACCAGCTGCCATCAGGTTCTTTGGTTGGTTTTAACAAAAGGAAAGGGTGTAGCAGTCAGATAAGTAGATAGATAGATGGATAAAACCATAGCATTTTTTTTAAGTAGGAGAAGCGATGTTAGAGGTTATTTAGGCAGATGTCATTTTAAAAAATGAAAAATTGGAAGATTAAAAATGGCAGTGGAGTAAGTGGATGCTGCATGGACATGCTCCCAGGACCAAAGTGGAATTACAACTAAAATACAGAAAAACTTCCTTAATAATCAACTGAAGACTCACTGGAGAGAACCCTGAAAACCAAAGATAGAAAGTGGAGACTGCATAGAGACTGGTAGGAAGGACAGAGGCGCAAAAGGGCTGGCTGGGCTCCCACAATGAAGTCCCAGGCTCCCACATGAGATATCTCAGCTGTGCGGGATTGCCACTGAAAACTCTGGGGTCTAATCCCCAAGCTGGGCCTCCCAGAACTGAGAAGGGTACCCACGTAACATCTGACTGTGAAAAGCAGCGGGGTTGCTGTCTACCAGGGAGAGATGGCTAGAAATGCAACACATTTAAAGGGCCAACACACAAAATTCCCTCTGGAGCCACTCACCTTGTACTCTGGCAGAGGGAGAACATAGTGGACTGGAACTGTGTGAGAAGAAGACAGGATCAGGGTCTCTGGGGGTTAGAAACCAGAAGGCAGACACCCTGGTTTCTTGTGCTGAGTCATTCCCTTGCGTTGAGGAGGTCATCTTTCTCACGAAGACAATTGCTATCTAACTGTTTTGCCTCGGGGGGTGAGGGGGGAAGAAAGTTGACCCACTCTATTGGAAAACACCTTGCCTTAAGGTGCAAAGTATCTGAGGCCCATTAAAAGACTGAAAATAGCAATTAGCCTCCAGGCAGAAGCAGTTGCCCTTCCCTGTTGAAAAAATTCTCACTACACTTGTGGACGATTGCCTGAGGGCTATTCAAAACAAAATCCTTTAAGTCTGTAGGCAGAGGCAGTCTCTAGAGTCTTTGAGTCTTTGCCTGATCTTATTAGTCAGAAATAGCACTTGACACTATTTTGCACTAAAGATTGAGAGGCGTAGCAGATCTATCTAATACCTAATCACAAACCCAAACAGGCAGCAAAAATGAGGAGACAAAGAAACAACCCCCAAATGAAAGAACAAGAGAATTCTCCAGAAGAAAAGATAAATGAAATAGAGATATCAACAAAATATTAGCAAATTGGATCCAGCAATATATTAAAAAGATCATAATCGTGACCAAGTGTGATTTGTTTCAAGGATGCAAGGCTGGTACAATATTCACAAATCAATAAACATGATACATCACATAAACAAATTAAAACACAAAAATCACATGATCATAGCAATCGATGCATAAAAAAGCATTCGACAAAATCCAGCACCATTTTTGATAAAAACTCTTAGCAAAGTGGGAATAAAGGGAGCATATCTCAACATGATAAAGGTCATAAATGACAAACCTACAGCCAACATCATACTCAATGGGCAAAAACTAAAACCGTTTCCCCTAAGAACAGGAACAAGACAGGGATGTCCACTTTTACCACTCTTATTCAACATACTACTGGAAGTCCTAGCCACAGCGATCAGACAAGAATAAGAAATAAAAGGCATCCAAATTGGAAAGGAAGAAGTAAAACTCTCATTATTCACAGATGATATGATATTGTACATAGAAAACTCTAAAGACTCCACCAAAAAACTACTAGATTTAATAGATGAATTTGGCAGTGTAGCAAGATACAAAATCAATACCAAAAAATGGATGGCTTTTTTTATACACCAATAATGAATTCTCAGAGGAAAAAAAAATCCATTTACCATTGTAAAAAAAAAATTAAGATACTAAAGAATAAACTTAACCAAGGAGGTAAAAGACTTGTTCTCAGAAAACTACAGGACATTGAAAAAGAGATAGAAGTTATAAACAAGTTGAAAAGCATACTGTGTTCATAGATTGGTAGAATCATCATTAAAATGTCCATACTACCAAAGGCAATCTACAGATTCAATGCAATCCCTATTAAAATACCAATGGCATATTTCACAGATCTAGAACAAATACT